AGGTCCCATGTTTACTTCGTTAACGCTGTTAGCGCAAGCAGCAGATTTGTCTTTAAGACCCGGTAGCCTTTGAGGCAACTGGAGCAGCCGCATTTGAAAGTGCTGTCCAGGTGCCTTACGTAGATGGGTGTACAACTCCCGTTTGAAGCCTTCCTCAGTCGGCGTAGTGGCAACAGTCTTTGGTAGGCGGTTCTATACATTTCCTAGACAAGCGGATAGTGCGACAGCAGAGCAAAATCTGGCCTCATTGGTTTGAACACCCTACAGTTTTGACCTCGTGTCTAGCCAACAATTTTGGGCCGGAAAGTCTTTCCTGGTTCATCCCTAAATTCACCTCTTAGTATGAGTTTGGTAAAGATGAGGTTTCCTCAAATAAGACGGTATGTATTAAAGAACAGATTTAACTGCTAGAGCCTAATGGAACAAGGAAGATCACAAAGCTAAACTTATGATGGAGACGACACATATTTTAAACTTATTTACCTAATACGATTGTACTTATACTGATATAGACTTAGAAACGCGACGCTGGACACATTTAAGAATAGAGAGGGGGAATTCCGCTAGCAAATCATACACTAGCATATTTCGCACGTAAGAAGCGAACATGCACTTGAAAATCATTGGTGCCTTTCGATAGAGTATCTTAAAACACAGGACATTCCGTTTGCAGCAGCGACCCAATTCAGTGTATCTGGTGTAGTTTCCAAGTCACTGGCTACTATTTATCCTTTGTGTTTTCCTAAGCAAAGCTTTTAAGAAGAAAACCCTGTGTGGTCACTTCCAAGTTGCTCAAAAGCATCAAGCATTAAGCGCAGCATATTTCGCAGTTTATGGGTTGGCCTTGCTTGATGGACCTGTCGTGCAGTAGGCCAAGCGTCACCCGCAGTCTATTAACGGCAGCGATATCAGGCACTACAACACGGCTTGTGGTCGTCGGCATAGACCAAGCATTTTGTTTGCAGTGTAGCAGGAATGTCGTTGATGTACAGCTTGTACAGACCGTGTCCAAGCACAGACGTCTGTGACTCCCCATTGGTCCTTGCACTAGTTTGGAAAGCCTTCCTTTCACAGAACTGCAAGGTCCAAGTTTCCAAGAAGTCGACAATCCACGGGTGTGGGTTGCCACTAGCGCCGGTGTTCATAGGCTTCAAGAGGAGTCGCCGAGGTGTGGCTTTATCGAACGTTTTGCCAAAATCGACAAAGACCATAACTGTGTTGTCCGTCATCGATAAACGCCCACTTTTCTCTCGCGCCAGAAAGTTGGTTGAGCAGGAACGTCCCTTCTGGAAACAATGCTGCGTAGAGAAAGTGCTGTTAATTCCGTCGCAATGCTTTCGTGGTGCTCGTTTAATCAGCTTTTGCTTGATCTTAGAGACAATGGATGTCAACCAGATTTGGCGATAGTTCATAGAGTGCTGACAATTTCCCCATTTGTACATGAATATTACGGTCCCAGTTTTCCAGGCAACCGCTAGATTACCTGCTTTCAAAGCCAGCTGAGATATCTGGCAGATGTGTGGAGCAACATAGTCACCGGTTGAGGAATTTTTGATGCAAGCCGTCAGGGCCGAAAAATAAGTTCGGTTTCATCTAGAGTTTCCTAACTGTTCGTGCTGTATTCAACAAGTTCTATGCGGTATGGTTGTGTGGATTAATATACGTTACTCGTCGAGGTTTCTAGCGCGTATACGGTGGAGTGTTGCCGTGCCGGATGGTTTGCTTTCTCGTCGTCTTTGCAGAGCGCGATGCCTGTCAGGTCGGATAGAAAGCGGGTTTGCCTCAGTCTACTTTGCTTCTTTTGTTAAGGTAAGCGTATAATTGTTTGGGTTTAAACAAAGGTTGTTCGACCATAGCTTATCCATATTGTTGCCTTTTCTCGCGCTTTTCTTAGGGACACGGTATCCTGAGTGCGTGGTAGTTTAAATAATCCGAGGTCAGTTGAGCGCGCTTGGACCTATGCCACCGTTGCTGCTGCTGATTCATGAGAAGCCACAGCTATCCATCAATATGAGGGGACCTCATGCGGGGCTTGAGATAACCTGTTCAACGATCAGGTTTCCTTTGGAAAGTAGTTGATTCCAGGCACTATCGACATCTAGGTCATATAGGGTGGTCCAACCCTGGTTGCAAGTTACCGTTCTTAGACAAGACGCATTGATCCGACAGAAGGTCCTACGGTAAACTCTTCATTAGTGAATGGATAAAGTCTGTATCCACGGGAAAAATTTGGTAATCACTGTAGCTAATTGGTGGGTCGTGGTCAGCTCAAGGACGTCAGATAATTTGGTGTCAGCACAAAATCGAGGCACTGCAGTGGCTGATCCGTGAGCATCATTTTAGCATGGAAACATGCAGTAGTAAGGTGGCTTCAAGAATTGCAATAAGAATAAAATCTTCAGAGGACGCAAGAGAGTCTGCATTTGTGTAGATCCTAGTCGACGCTGAGTGCATTGCAGTCCTCCGGAATTAGGCAGTTCCACCTCTCCAGTTAGATTTGCTGGTGTCGAGAACTCGGACACCCTTACTCTACGGGGGTGTGTAACCATCCCTCCACAGTGAGCATTTTGAGTCCGTCGTGGATCCGATATCATGTAAACAGGTTGACGTGTTTGGTGCTGTGTATTAGTGGCGGATATCACCAAAGCCTAGATGAGTAATGGGCATGAAGTTCATCATTTAACACATCAGGTTAATGTCCAAGGTTCCACTCTTCGTTCTGGGAATTCCTTGAAGTGGTGGACAAGCAAAGGTTTCCGCAGATTGTGATTTATGTAGTGTTCGTTTAGGCCCCGAACAGTCACTATCATTTTTTAACTTTTCTCAGCTTTCTTTCAGCACCATCTAACATATAAGTCCAGGATTTCCAGCTCTGCCTCTTCCGAGACAAAGTGCAGTTCGAGACGACTTTGCTATTGGGTACAATGTTGATTGTAGGGCTACGCAGACAGACGATATCCGAGCGCCTACTGAAGTTGGGTAGGTATTAAAAGCACCGCCAGTTGCTTCGTGGTGACACGATCCTCATCGTATCGTACCACGGAAGTTAGGGTAGGAATTATTTTAAGTTATTTGGGCAGGCCATGTTGTCTGGTCTCCGTGATCTACCCATGAATTTAGACGAAACGCTTTCTGATCGCAGTATGGCAGGAACGCGGTTATTGTGTAAAACTATCGAGCTCTGGAACATGCTTTAGGATAATGTGCTTAGAGAAATTACGGTTATAGATTGTGCGTATTGGTTTGACGAAATTGAGTAGGTCCATGAAACCTTTCCTTTCTCCTGCTCGTACCTTGCATCATAATTTGCTACCGTTCTCTCCGCTCTACACGTATTGGTATTATCCTTCGTTTAGGTTGCCCTCCTTCTTATTAACCTTTCATTTTATTCTCATATTTTGTTAACTACTTTTGGCCGGTACATCAGGGATTGCTAGTGCAGTAATTGGTTGACCATGGTGTGGTTCGAGTGTTTTGCTTTATATCCATAAAAGCTCAGAGCACTTAATCGAATCGACAGGCTTTGCCTGTCACTACAATGCCATTTGTATTTGCACCTGACAGACGCAACAGTCAAGTTGTTTGCAAAATTGTGCAGAAACCCTTGGAGAATCCATGGACTAATGTTAACTGCTGCAGCCAAGCAAAACATACCTGACTACTTTGCTTTTAGCTCTTGTTAGCTGAGCCAATGTGGTAAGCTTTTGATACCGTATTTCTACTCAGGCTCACTAAAGTTGTGGGCCTGCGAGATATCTGATGGCCGTCTTAAATGATTATCCGCACAATGCATACGAGTAAGCCCTGGATTTTCGCTTAAGAAAGTTGTCGTTAGAGGCGTTCCAATGTGCGAGATATTAGGGCCGCTGCTGTTTGCAATCCATGTAAGTTATTCGCTTAAAGTGCTTAGTGTGTCATTGTTAATACTTGTTGACGATATAAAGCTCTAGAATATTATGGAAGTCTTTAGGGACTATAAGGCAATTCAGAATGCTTTGTGTAAGCTATGGGATTGGCCTGTATGACGCCTTATGCCTATACATCGACCTAATTGTTCCG